AAGTTTGAGAATCCTTCTATATGTGATTAAATTTTCAAGTATCTAACGGCCTTGGTTTCTGCTGTGCAAAATTTTGAAAATTTGCAAATTTTTTTTCAAAATCTGGATTGCAAAATTATTATGCAAAATCTATCGAACCGATTTTGATGAAATTTGGTGTGATGATTCTACATAACATGAAGTTTTCTTGAACCAAGTATAAAGGTCCTATACCCAATTTAAATACACCAAAAAAATTCCCTAAAAGTATCGTTTTTAACCCCATTTTTGCGATTTTTTCGATTTTTACCATAATAATCATGATTCATTCGATTTGTCATGTTTTGTAAAAAATTTAATTACAAACATTTTTTTCCTGTTCCATTTTTGCCTAAAATCAACTCTTGAAAAGATACATAATGAAATAGGAAGAAAAATATGACATTTTTCGGATTTTTTTAAACATATTGTGCCGCCAAAAGTTAAGCCCACGTTTTTTTTATGCGCATAGAAACATTTTAATTTCTAGTGATATTTGAAAGCCAAAAATCTCCGTGGATATACGATTCACCCAAACCAAAACAGATACCGTCTAGTCTATTCCGAAATAAAATGTTTTGGTATAATTTATACCATTGATTTTCTTGACCACCTTCATTGACTACCGCCGTTTTCTTTAACTGGATCCAGGGTTCATTCTCCTGGTCCGTTTGAATTGTACCCAAAGCTGCCTGGACGTTGACAAATTCTTTACTAAAAGTAAACATGGTTATATCAATTTCCGACGCGTTATCTGGTTTAATTTTAAATTTATCATCCACTGGATATCGAGATAAGCAATCTGCTAAAATGTTTTCATTACTCCGACAATGCTCTATCATAAAGTTAAATTCTTGGAGGTATAACACCCAGCGTGTAAGACGAGGAGATTTCAACGGACAATTCATCAGGTAAGTTAAAGCTTTATGGTCTGTAATTATAACGATAGGGAAACCTAAAACTATCAATCGCCACTGCTGTAGTACGTAGACCACCGTAAGTGTCTCTTTTTCTGTTACGGTATATCGTAACTCAGGTCCTTGCAGAGTCCTGCTTGCGTACCCAATTATTTTTTTATTTCCTAAACTATCTAACTGAAATAGACAACAACCCAAACCGTAATTCGAACTGTCAGTATGTATATAATAGTATATTACGTAATAAGTGTTGTAAAAAGCATTTTACGCACGAATGGAAAAGTTACGCACGACGCCGCGTAGCGGCGAGTGCGTAATTCTATGAGTGCGTAATTGCATTACACCGCGTATTACGTACTATACTTTACCTACGACTACTACTGTAAATACTTAAAAACACACCATCTGTGATCAATGTAAGATTCCTATTTTACGTACGGTAAAAAAATCGCACAGCTTGGTAAAATATCGTACAGTTTTCCTAGCAACCGCCTAGAAACGGTCAATACAAACAGTATTGTATTGACCGTTGCTAGGCGGTTGCTAGCAAAACTGCGATTTTTTTACCGCACGTAATAGGAATCTTACATTGATCGCAGAGGTGTGTTTTTTAAGTATTTACAGTAGTGGTCGTAGGTAAAATGTTTTTTTTCTACAAACGTCAAAAAATGACAAGGTTTGCGCATTGACAACAATCTGCGTAGTGACACTTTTTTTCGGATTCTTACGTTACCATGACACCGTGCGCGAAATACTTCGCGCACTAGGGTGCGAAGTATTTCGCACACTGCATGTAAATTAATAAGAGTTTTGTATTTCAATCTTTGAAAAAATGAAGCAAAACTCCAAATTATTATTTATTTTTAAATGAATAACAATTAAATACTTTTAAAATAATGATAGAATTTTACAATAACTTTAGTTATTATTTACAATATTAACATTAATCGTACAACCAGTACACGANAGTAGTTCTTGTTAACGCTGCAGTTGCAGTCGTTGTTATTGATTCTATTGGTAACAACAGCAATAGCTACAACAACAACAGTAACAACAACACCAACAGCAACAGCAACAGTGACAACTTGCGATGAACTTTTTTCTATATTCAGTTCCTATATTTATTTCGGGTTCTTGGCTTGGAGGGAAAGAAATTTCCTAGAAAATCTTGTAACCAACTTTGATCATTTATTTTCAAATACAGTTTTACAACAACTCTGATACTATTACTAATGATTCGTGGTATTTTTTGTCGTAACAATAAAATGATTTTATTACAAGTGGTGGTTTCACATCTACCCTGGACACCGATCGTGTTCCCACTGTCGCGGGCGTCCCTCTCCCTTGTCCACTCGCGCACATCTCCCCACTAATTTCTATCGCACCACCACCCGGCACACCACCAATACAAAACATATAGGTAACTAACTAAATAGGGCATCACATTACCCCCCTATTTAATCGTGGGACAAAAACCAACTGGTACCACGATTCAATACTCAAACTAAGAAATGAGAATGAAATACAAAGGAAAGAAAAAAAAATAGTAATTAAAACTAAACTTACTAAAAGAGCTAACTCTCTCGATAGTTATGTCAACACATCTGGTACGACTTTGTACAATTTTAAATTAATAATATTGTGAGGGCCCAGGATCGACCCATTTAATCCTGATAGTAAGTACGAATTAGGACCAACTCTTTCTTTTACGGAGTATGGACCTTCGTACAAGAGAAAGAATTTTTTGATTTCCGAAGTAGCTGCACATGACAAGGGATGTGTCTTTAATAAAACTAGATCCCCGGGTATCAGTGAAATAGGATTATTTTGATTATCTATTTTGCTTTTTTTCCTTTCGGCTTTACTGAGCATACGGTCATAAGCAACTCGCCAATACTCGTTTAAAGGTTGTTCTATCGTAGTTTCGGGCACGGGAAATTTGATAATTTGCTGAATGTTATTATTACTCTGAGTACCAAATAATAAAAAGGCAGGCGTAAAACCTGACACCTCATGTCTAATATGATTAATACAATTCTCAACCTCGCTTAATACATAACCCCATTTGGTATGTTTATGGAAACAAAACGTCCGTTTGAATCGTACGCAAAGCTGCCTGAACGTTGACAAATTCTTTACTAAAACTAAGCATGGCTATGTCAATTTCTGACGCATTATCTGGTTTAATTTTAAATTTATCATCCACTGGATATCGAGATAAGCAATCTGCTAAAATGTTTTCTTTACCCTGGCAATGCTCTACCATAAAGTTAAATTCTTGGAGGTATAACACCCAGCGTGTAAGACGAGGAGATTTCAACGGACAATTCATCAGGTAAGTTAAAGCTTTATGGTCTGTAATTATAACGATAGGGAAACCTAGAACTATCACTCGCCACTGCTGTAGTGCGTAGACCACTGAAAGTGTCTCTTTTTCTGTCACGGTATATCGTAACTCAGGCCCTTGCAGAGTCCTACTTGCGTACCCAATTATTTTTTTATTTCCTAAACTATCTAACTGAAATAGACAACAACCCAAACCGTAATCCGAACTGTCAGTCTGTATATAAAATGTTTTATCAAACTCCGGATGACTAATCATTGTTACTTTTAAAAAACTCTCTTTAATCTCTTCGAATGCTAACTTTTCTTTAACCCCCCATATATATCTTGTATTCTTTTTCAACAATTGTAGTAAAGGTATCGTTAAATCCGCAAACTTGTCAACAAACCGACGATCGTAATTTATCATTCCCAAAAAACGTCCCAATTCTTTAATATTGCGAGGTGCGAGAAAATTTTGAATCGTGTTAATACGTGCAGGATCCATCTGTATACCTTGTGGTGAAATAATGTGACCGAGGAAGATAACTTCGGCACGAGCAAAGACCGATTTTCTTAACTTAACCGTGATATTCGCGTTTCTAAATTTAGAAAAAATAATTTCCAGATGGCGAAAATGTTCGGCAACGTTTTCTGAAAATATTAGTAAATCATCTACGTAACTAAAGGAAAAATCTTGTGTTTCTGTACCTAAAATCCGGTCTAAGGCCTTTATAAAACTTGCCACTGAAGTCGAAATACCAAATGGAAGTACGTTAAAAACATAAGTATTGTTTTCGAATAAAAACCCAGTATATTTTCGGCTAGTTTCTTTAATGGAGGCGGTCAAATCCAAGGTCGATAAATATTTCATACCTTTAAATTTCATCAATAAATCTACAGGAAGTGGTGGCCTCGTATGGTCCATTACCATTTTTTTATTCAAATGTCTGGCATCGAGACAGACTCGGACACTTATCTTTTTTTGTTACGGTCGTAAGTGGTGAAATATACTCCGTTTGAGCACTAGAAATAATCCCTAAATTAACCATCTCGCGTATTTGACGTCTGGCCTCTTCTCTATGTGCAAACGCGATCGGGTACGAAGGTTTAAAAAAAGGTGTCACCTCACGCATCTGAATCTCATGTTCATACATATCAGTTTGTGACGTGGTATTTTCGTCGTTCGTCACTATGACGCCTGAGCGGCGGCGGTTACCTCGGGCGCCAGTTTCTGATTAAAGTGCAAAAACACCACTACACGGGCGGCTGCAGTGAAGACACGGTATGTCCAGAGGGTCTAGAGAGAGAGACTTCACACAGGAATAAAAGTCACACAATTGGTATATATTTACATTTATTTAGTCCAATTCGACCTATTTACACTATGCTACTCTAAGTCTACTGCTAAACGGTTACGGTTATATATAGGGTGACTACGGAAAACGGTAAAATAATGGTGCGGTGTTAAGCGGTGACCTGACGAAAGCAAAGCACAGCAGAGCTAGCGAAATGGTAAACAGGTAAACGGTTAAGGCAGTAAGCGGTAGTACAGATACCAGAAAGAAGGAAGCGATTTAGCAAAGCAAAGTTACAAACAATAACTATAGACTAGACTTGGCTACTATCTTTACACAAAAGCAATAAAACAGTAACAGCAGGGCTCCTCAATCCTGGCAAGCGGCTGGCAGAAAATCTCTGAAAGAAAGGTTGATTAATTACGACCTGCGTTTCAACTCATAGGACAGAAAAGGAGGAAAGGATGACAACATCCTATCAGCCGAACGCGCAGTTAGGTTAAGTATACCGGAAAGAGACAACAGTATACCCAACCACGTCGTACCTGAAAGAGAAACAAGATTAACTGCGACCTGCGTCTCCACTCATAGAACAGAAAGGAAATGGGACACGACATTCTATCAGCAGAGCGCGCAGTTAGGTCGAATGCACCGGACAGTGACAACAATGCACCCTTCCTTGTCGTATTTCGGCGGTTCGGTACGACCTGCGTTTCAACTCATAGGACAGAAAAAGGGGGAGACAACATCCTATAAGCCGAACGCGCAGTTTAGGTCTGGTACACCGGACGGAGACAACAGTGCACCTTTCCTTGTCGTGGTACGGCGGATAACTGAAAAGACAAGATATGATTAGTACAAGCGGACAGCAGCCAAGTCTTTACCTAGGGTCCCTAAACCTTGACTCACTTCTCTTCCTGGGCACGCCTGGTCGGTCGGAATGCTGGAACAGGACTAACTCTGCAGTACAATTACCTCGTCAGGTCTCTTGTCACCTCAAGAGACGTGCGCATTTAATCTGCGCGGAATCTAACTTACTTCGGCGGTTTTCGGACTGGACTGGTGTTGGCGGCGGCTGGAGATGAACTGA